GGAAGGTGCCTCAGCCCGGCGGCTGGGTGGATCGCAGCTCCAGGTGCCATCCTGTGCACCTCTGGACAAGCCTCTCTGTGCCCCTGCCCCCTCGCCTGTGAAGTGGGGCAAGGCAGGCACAGTCAGAGCTGCTGGGAGAGGTTACCTACCATGGAGTGCGTGGGCGAGGCCAACACAGTACCCACTGTCCTGAGCGCTTGATTTAGGCTGGCACACCCTAGGCTCCTCGGTTTGAAACGACTCACTTCTGACCTCTGACCTCTGACCCTTGTCCTAGGCTTCAAGTGTTCTTGGGAGCAGCCCCCAGCTTAACTTTTGGAGTCCCCCCTCCAGTCCCCAGCAGTGGGGGAGGGGCAGAAGCATCTGCTCCTAGGTGGCCCCAGCCCCACCAGACCCCTGGCCACCCTCCGCTCCTGGCCACCATATCCCAGCTGAGACTCTTGTGCAAAGGGCAGGGTGAGGAGTCTGGGAGCAACGCCGGCCTCAGCGCTAGGCCAGGCCACCCAGAGGGACCACAGCTCAGGGCTCTCACTCCCCCTCCCTTTCCCCTCCAGCATGGGTGAGTGGACCATGGAGCCACTTCCTCTGAGAGGGCAGCCATGGCCAACTCCCTCCCTCCTCTCCCCACACTAGGGCAAGCCCACAGCTCCCTAAGGGTGCTGGTTTATTCCTCATCCAGGTCAGTGTACCCATCAACACAGGGTCCCCAAGATGAGGACAGATCATTTCAGCCCTGCTCAGCCCCAGTAGTCTGCCCCCAGTTCCTGGGAACCATCCTGGTCCATTCCTGTGCCCATGGGTCAGCACTGAGCTCCCTGTGCCCAGCTCCAGGTCCTGCTGCCCTGGGTGGAGTGGGGAGGAGACACCAGGAGGAAAGTCCCTTGATGAGCCACGGGTTCGCCCCAGAGATGATAAGCTAAGGATGGGGGCTGGGGGGTGGGCGAGGAGTGAGGGGAGACCTCCTGCCAGTCCCAGGCCTCTCCTGAGGCTCCAGTGCCCCACCCCCCAGCAAGGGGGCGAAACTCCAAGGTTGAAATTGGCACATGGGAGGGGAGGGATGCTGAAGGACTGTCCTTCCATCCACTGCCTGCCTACCTCTGTCCTGGGTCCCTCCCTGTGGGGGAGGCCAAGCCCACACAGTGAGGAGTAGGAGGGTTTGGCTGTGTCTTGGAGGCCCAAGGCGCCTGAATGTCACACCTGACTACCTGTGGATCTCAAATCTCATCTCCCCAGACTTCAGGTCGCTTAGAGCTCGCAGGCTCCAGGAGGACCCTAGTCTGTCCTCTTCATCACTCAGAGAGCAAGGCTCGTGTCTGAGGAGGTCTGAGCTGCTCTGAGGGCAAAGGCCTGGCAGGGACTCCCTGTGGGCTGCCCCGGAGAGGCGGGGGGCGGGCACTGGGGGGTCAGTGGTTATTTCCCCTACATGCAGGTGGGCTGCTTGACCTCTGGGAGGAGCCTGTGGGCCCTTCTCAGGACCCTGACCCAGACAGCCCTCCCTCCACACTATACCCACAAAGTGGGAAGCAGATGAAGTAGGGCAGGGATGGGCAGCACACGATGGTCCCAGAGAGGAGGGGGAGGATTGTCCAAGGCCCCCCCAACCCTGACATATTATACAGGCTCACACACATACACACTCCCTTACCCCAGACAGATACCCATAGACAGACACTTACCACACCTAACCCTAACCCCCCTACACACATATATACACATAGAGACTTGCATGCTCAATCCCACACCCAGACACTTACACAGACACACACACAGACACACATACCCTCACAGACACACCCACACACACATACAGAT